CAGCAGCCCATAGACTTCTGCTGAGCCACCTATTTATAAAGTACCAGACCTACTATGATTTTTAGACATGACAGAATTTAACCATGGTGTTGGCAGCTTTAGGACACCCCTCCTTTGAGTGGTTTCTATTATTTTGGAGCATTGGTTTTGTATTATTCCTAACACATTTCTTGGTTACATATACTTGAGGCACTTTACACTTTCACCAAATACTTCACCCTGTTAAATATTTGCAAAAGGATGAAATGTCATTTCAGCAGGTGCTGAAATCATGAGTGGTGAACAGGCTGACGAACAACTTGTAGCATGAGAACTACTGGTCACCTTTCTTCACATTTTTGTTTTAAATTTTTGAACTCTACATTCAAAACAGTATTTTGGAGCGAACTATGCCAATAAACACCCTTGGTGTCATTAAACACACGGAGAGAATTTAGAAGCACACAATGGTGAGACCTCAACATCCATCACGAACAAAAACGATTTTAAAATTTCCAGCCATACTTGTCTTAAGTTGATACAAACTGCTGCTGGAACTATTCAGAATTTCCGTTTATACAAAATATAACTTACTGGCTGCTTGCAACAGAAAGTATATATGATCATTTGACTTCTTGTAATCAGTTTGTAGGTTTGGATATATGAGTTCTAGGACCACCGGCCAGGCTGCCTGGCCTCCCGTGCTACACCCATGCAAAACGTCCTGCTCCCTCTGCTTGCGCTAGCGTTGCTGCTTGCACACCTGGGCAGGAGGCAGTGCAGGGAGTCAAACCAGCCAGAAACTGGCAACAGAGAAAAGAGAAATAGTTTCCTGCAGGTTTAGGTCCCTGAACAGGGCTGCCAGAGACTGCCAAATTCCAGCTCTGGTGCAGAAGAGAGACAGAGAGACTTCACTGCGCCTTCATCTTTCTGCCTGGATCTAGGGCACCCGCTGTCCATGCAGGGTAAAAGAGAGGCAGCACAAACACATCACGGCTTTTGAGGCAACTGTCACTGAGCTGGAGACAAAAAAATACTGTCTCGATAATGATAAGGCATCGTCAGGTGCCAGAAGTCGTGCCAGAAGTCGTGCCAGAAGTCGTGCCAGATGTCATGCCAGAAGTCATGCCAGAAGTCATGGTAATAAAAGTCTCTAAACTAGAACTTTTCAAGCACAAGTTTGAGCTTCTTTTTGAAGAGCACAGAAATTTTTATTGCATTACCGCTCTGTTTTAATGCTAACACTATGCACCTTTATTAGCTCTCTCCTGTTATACTTGAGTATTAAAAATAATTTGATTTACTGAAAAGATGCAATATGCTGTAACTATATGACAAGGAAGCATCTTGTTGGTTTTCCCCCTACTGATTTTCCTGAAGAAAGGTCAATATATAAAAAATGTTAATTTTAAAGATGCTACCTTCTGTCAGACCTCGTGGTGCATGGTTTTTTCCCTTCTGTTGTTCTGGAGAGATTATTTAGCAGTCAGAGAACTAACCATGTTTCCTCTGGAGACCTGGGGTCAGAGTTCTGCTCTGCTGAGTCTTTTGTGCAGCTTTACCTCACCTAGGACAGGTCTACACTGTCCCACAGTCGTATTCCCCCATCCCAAACCAGGCAGGCGCAAGCCAGCTTGGGTCCCAAAGCTACGTGGCTCTGCCAGCACGGTGCTGAGCCTGCTAAATGCACCCTAATTAGCAGGACCGAGCAGTGGAGACTGATGACTTTTTGGCTGCAGCCTGGTGTGCGTTCAGCCAGCTGGGAAGAGATGTTAGGCTGAGTCCTAGTGCTGCACCTGTAAAGCGAGGGCAGTGTCCTGCATCACAGACAGAGGGCGGGAGGACAAATTGTGAAGACCACCAAGGGTAGAAATACCATCGAAAGAGGGGGTGTAAATAACTACAAGGCTGCTGGGCCCAGTTTGGTAGAACCAGGCCATTTTCCCCTCATTGCCACTGCTCCCCCGGGAGCTAAGCCTTCCCCCGCAGCCTGGCAGAAGACCCTCTCACTCATACCCCTGTGCTTGTTTTGAAGTCCTTGCCTTCATGGTGGATCCTTGCTGATTCCTGCCCCTAGAAATGAGGACGAAACCTCACCCTGGGGATTTCCCCAATTATTTCATTGGTATTTGTTTGGCAAGACATGAGGAGTCAGCTCAGAGACACAGGCGGTGCTAAATGAATCTGCCTGTTGTCTCTGTAATCCTACATCCCCACTGTAATCGATGTGTGGGATAAGCATGAGTGAAAAGTAAGTAACATCACATTTTAGAGGGAAAAGAACTTCAGACAGGCAAACCCCAGGCACTGTATTACAGCTGATCCAGAAACCTAGCAAATATCTAGCGTGGAAAAGTCTCTCTTCCCACTCCTGTGCCTGTTGCTGCCCTCACACAGCCCCAGCCTGGTCCCCGCTCATGCCCCCACCCCGAGGCTCATGCCACCGGGCGGAATTCGGCCTTGCAGAGCCCCCTCACAGCTGAGACCCTTACCGCATGCCCCATCTCCACACCCCAGGAAAACTTCCAGCCCACAAAGCACCGGCAGGCAAGCAGGTGAGAATACCTGGAGAAAGGGACGAGGGTGCCCAGGGGACCCCCGCTGCTCAGCCTGACCCCCACCCACGACCAGGGCCGGGACGCACCTACCCGGGCACGCCTGGCCGTGGTCGTGGCAGCAGTCCCCGGCTCGCCGGCATCCTCCGTCGCAGTAGCAGGTCCCGTAGCCTCCTCCCTCCCTCCATCCCTCGCCGACACAGGCAGCGTCCCGGCCCTCGCAGCACTTTCCCAAGCAGCTTCCCCCGACCCCGCTGCCGGCCCACAGCAACCCCAACCACAGCGCTCCCGATAACGCCGCGCAGCCCATCACCGTGCCGCCCCGACTCGGGGATCCCGCCACCGCGACGCGCTCCGGGGCGGGCTCGGCGGGCAGGGAAGCTGACCGCGCCGGCCGCCCCCGCGATGTCCTGCACAGTGATGTATCACGCGGTGGTACATGTCCTGCACAACAGTGTCACACAGCCACGTCCTTGCCCAGCGGGGGCCCTCACAGGACCGGTCTGCACGGCAATGTCCCACCCAGCCGTGCCCTGCACACCAGCGACTCACAGAGCAGCCCATTTTCTTTCTTTCTTATTTTTAAAGCTCTGTTTCCAGAACAAACAGAAGAGGCTGTACTCGCAGGTGCACAAGCAAAGCAGGATGGATCCCCAAGTAACCTCCTAAAACACGAAGATTTGAATTCTGGTTTTCAGTTCTCGCCAGTCCTAAGAGGTTTTCAGGATTAATGAGACCTGATCATTTTAGCCAAAAATCAAATCCCCATAGTAAGGAGTGAGGTGACTGCAAAAATATGTTAGCTTCGCACCCTTCAATTTGCAGATAGTTAGCTACTAAGGAAAGAGACATCTGGTCTCCCAAAGCTGCCTACAGATGGGAGGTAACAGTCTATTATATTATCTGCTATATGTGGGTACTTGGACCCCCTGAGAGAGCTCGGGCCAGCCAGAGTTTAATTTCTTCTACCCATCACAACATTGCTGTTAAAATGTTGTTTAAATCCCAGAGGACTGGGTCTGCGCTGTTATCCCGTGTGCCGCTAATGAACCTACTGGCATGTTGCCAGCCTAAAACTCGAACCCGTGGAGAGCGAACGTCGGGGGAGTTCCTGCGGTGGGTGAGAGGAGAACAAGACTTGCAGCCTGCCTTGCTAATCTTTATGTTTTCCTTTCCTTTATTGGATTCTTGTGGTTCACCTGAAAGGCAAAATATTAGCAAATCAATGTAGAAACTACCTTTATAAGCAGACGATAAATCGTGTGCGGATGACTTATGCTAAAGGGATAAGTCAGTAAAACTTGGACGAGTTTGGAACAGATTAAGAGAGTGGCTTTTTCTTAGTGGATATGTTTACAGAAAAACAAGAAACTATGTCTGCAATGGTCTAGTAAAAGAAAACAGAATACAAATGAAAAATGTTAAAATTTCTACTAGATGCAGTAAAGCAGATTCTTCAGAGCAACCAGAAAAAAAAATCTTAATTAAAGGAGAGAACAAGCTCACGCAGTCTGTTCCAGCGAATACTTTGTTTTTTCCCTTTTAGTTTAGTTCCTCATTGTTAGGGGTAGAACTAGGTAACTTGTGAGTAAGGACAAAGAAACAGCGATGTGTTCTCAGGCAATGAAGCAGCATTGAAACCCTTACAGGCAATTCCAGCAAAATAGGCAGAGATTTCTTTCTAGTTTGACATGAGATGATCCGCAGAAGGTAGGTGTTGCTCATGCCCTACTATTTGTTATCTTTTTGTCATGCAGATAACTTTAGGAGGAAAAGCAGTTTTGGGCAAGGCTGATATAAAAGGGATGTGTAGGTAAGCATAGGGAATGGGCAGAGCCCTTGCTGTCTTCCCCGTAAGCCACAGAGGAGCATTGCATGGAACAGAGGTCACCAGTCATCTGGTCCACATGCGCCCTCGGTGCCGAAATACTTCTTAATCTCAGAGGTGAGGAGAAATCTCAGGACTGTATTGTAGTCCTTTCAAAAGCAGGTGTTGCTGCTGGCTCTCTGAGATTTTGGAAACCATGGTCTAGCTCAAGCTGCCAGCCATTTTTGTACTTTTCTGCTATTTCTGCCATTTCTGCCCTATTTTACCTTTGGGTACTCAAAACTCAAATTCCCAAACTAAAACTGCAGTATCATATGGTAAGAGGGGAAAAGAAACCAAGACTGTGAAACATGTTTTTCAACTAATTTCTCCAACATGTAGATGGTTCCAATGAGTCTCATTCCATTGTTTTATTTCCAACCAAAGTGTCCCCATTGCCTTACATGGAGTTCTCCTTGGTTTATAATACCACAAAGACAAAACTGAGCCAAATGAGCTCCAACAGTAAATTAGAAAGAGAACTAGTTTCTATTATTTACCATGCTTACCAACTCTATTATTCACCGTGGTTATTTATGCTCTCTCTATATAAAGCATGTAAAGCAGAGCCAAACTCTTACTCTCTGTCAAGTCCTATGGTGCCTGTCTACCCATATTAGGCAGAAGACTGAAAACACCTGCAACTGAGAAAAGCTTCAGTCTGGGAACAAAATATATGTTTGGTAGCAAAATACCTCTCTTTTATTTTTCAAGTTTAACTTACAGCCACAGTGACTTTGAGGACCTGATATAAGGACTATTCAGCTCAACTTCAAAGTCTTTTTCAAATACATTATCTGTCAGCCTGCAGCATTCCACATGCCCACACCTCCTCACGAGCAAACTCTCTGGAAGGTCCTAACTTGCACAACTAGAGCTCATTTTTCTTTGCTGCTAGGAAGTTAATCCGATGGCAACAAAATGAGATGACTGCAAAGATCCTACAGGGCATTTCTTTTTCTTTTAGACATGTGTTTGCACACAGCTCTGTTTACGTTACAGAAATACCCTTCTGCAAGCAACCTGCTTACATTTTATATTGAGACAACATGGTGACTGATGTGACAACGGCTGTCTCCGTCCTGCTATGCAGGATCACACTTCTGGGAGCACCACAGTCAGCTACAGCTTGAGTTTGTAGTAAGAGGCCTTTGTTCCCCTTGTTCTGAAAAAGGAAACTTTCTCCTGATAAGAAATAATTCCTGCTAAGGTGAATAACCAAATCATGGTGTTTGCTAGTGTAGCTGACAGCTTAAAGCAATAGCAACATTTTGTATGTAAGAAAAATGAGGAACAATTTGTCTTCACTAACGATCAGCCTGTGTAAGAACACAGTAGATGATACATAAAAGAACGTTTCTGTTGTTTCATAGCCCGTGTTGTTATACAGAAAGCACAATGCTGTTTCAATGACTAGCTCGAATTGCTCGTAAGAGAGCATGCTAAGTACCTGGCTATGTTTGAGAGAGGTCATTTGCTGAGCAAACAGCCTTCCCCTTCCACCCGCTTTGCCCTGGCAGTCCTGTCAGGTGCAATCCTGCATGGGAGGCACATTGGCTTGCTGCGTCTCAATTACAACCATTGATTTTGCTTGGGGTTGGTAATGACGCATGAAATTGCTCGAATTCTAGAGGTTAGTGGGAATATGGCAGAGCTATCTATCAGGGTATTTTTATCTGATTTTTAAAGGCCTTCACCCTCCCTGTAAGTTACTGAAGAAATGTCCAAGTACTGAGACGAACACAGAGCTGCTGTCGAGCTTCCATGTAGAAAAAGTCCGGCAACTCTGTATGCCCAACATAAGGGGATCAGGGCTGGAAAACATCTTTTTCCTCTTTTTTTCCCTGAGTTTCTCTTTTTACAGGTTCAGGGAGCTGAACTGAAATGAAGCACCTGAGCCAGCATGAGGAAGAGGAGGGAGCCCAGGGCAGGGCGGGCAGAGGGCAGCAGGACTGCCTCCACCAGCAGCAATTAGCAAAGAGACTGGCTCAGCTAATGCACGTGGTAGAACATTCCCCTTACTCTGTCAGGCTGCAACTACATCTTTTGTCTGAAGAAACAGCCTATGGCTTATGGAATAATAGTATCGCAGTCATAAGTACATTTTCTTGCGTTAGTTCTTATTTTATCTTAATTCTAAATGCTATTATAATCTAGAAGTGTCAACATGATGTCATTCCAATTTTCATTTCTCTTAGTGATGTTGAGAACAATATTCCCCAGGAATCACTCACAAGGGAGCATGCTGAGTACCTGGCAGTGTTTGAAAAAGAGCATTTGCAGCATAACCAGTGATGCATAAAGTGACGAGTTTTCTAACTCCTGGACCTGGAAAGTCAACCTGTTTCTCAGGCAACCTGTCCTGGTTCTTCAGGCCAAATAGGCCACTCATGCTTTGCTCAGATGTGAAGGCATTTACTCATGATGTGTGAGGAACACAATCTACTTGACTCCTGTTTGTTAGCTGTCTTTCTGCAGGGTTTACCAGGTAGTTTTACTTTTTAAATGCACATTATCAGCCAGAGTAAGAGAAGGCGGCAGTTTAACATAAGCACTTCCCAAAACAGAACTGCCTCTTATAAAATAAGCATCCCAGGATATTATTCCACATACTTCCCCGTTTCTTCTGCTTTGGATTATTTTGTTTGGTAGTTACAGACCCCCTCTTTTCTGTAATCATGACTAAATCAATTACTTCCCTTCCTGACGGAGGAATCATTATTACCATTTTAAAGGTAGGAGAAAACGATACTGAGAGATTAGGGCCCCTATCCAGCAAAACACTTAAGCGCTTGCATAACCCAAGGCACATAATAACCCCCCACTGCAGGACTGTTCACTTGTTCCAAGTTATGCAGTCTTGGAGGATTTACTGAACCTGGGCCTTCTGGTGTGCCCAAGGGCTCCCTGAGAGGCAGCTACTTCACTCTCAGCTGCACATTGCAGCCACCAGCCTCTCCTTGCACAGCCTCAGAGCATCCACACTACTCTCTGGCAGATGTAGAGCAAACATTAGCCCTGATTTAGGCCTGGTCAGCTCCTTTTACATCAGGATATAAAGCCGAAGAGATGAATAGCTTATCCTCAAATTCGTTATTTAAATTAATGCAAAAAGTGGCTAAGACTGTTTATTTCTCATTAACTCCAGATCAGATTTGGCCTGCTGTTTTAAACTGTAACCACTATTAGCATAGCCCAAAACTTAATCTGTTTATTTCTTTCTCAGTTATCATGTCCGGTAGCAAAGATTCGGCATCTTGGAGTTAGTGGGTGGTTTTGATGATGGTGCATTTTGCAGAGAAGAATGCAGCTCCCCCTCCTGCAGCTGATGAACACGCTCTGCTAGCAGGAATAAGCACACTTTTTTTTTTTTGTCAATGAAGAAAGCAGGAATAACAATGATTTTATGAAATTAGGGCACTGAACTGTTGAGAAAGAGAGTA